CCTAAGTTCCCGAGTAAAAGAAGCTTCTCAGTTGGGAACTTGCAAGATCCAAGCCGCTGAGTAATCATGAAACTTCTAAGTACCGAAGTGTGGTATCGTCTTTACTTGCCTTATTTGTCTCATAAGTAAATGTGGCATCTTCTTTGGAAGTAATCTTCCTCCATCCAGGGATGGTATCTTTAACCGGTGGAGAGTCACAAAGTAATGTATCAATTTCACTTGAAGCTTACTTGTAGTTTCAGGCTTGGTCAAGCGCAATACAAACCATGTAGTAGGAGTCCCCAAGTCGCCGAGTTAGGAGATTTTCCGAAAGAGGTGACAGACAAGGTAAGCAATCAGAGTTCCAAGAAATCAGTTCCAAATCAGAAGTTTGATTTCGAGTTCCTGCTGATTGTTTTCATTCTCCCTCTCTTGCAAGCAGTAAAAAGGATAAAGAGAAGAAAAATGAGAAGAGATGATATGAGATACTTTTGATTTTGAAGAAGTAACTTTCCACAGGCTTATTCTTGAACTGGGCTGAAGGGTTTTCTGGTTTTCTCTAGAGTATAAGGCCGACTCAAGAATTTGAGGGTAAAAAAAAGTCCATCAAATCAAAAGTGCATTCGACCTTGATAATATGTGATACTTTTATTGTTGACAAAGTAATAGATGAATCAGCACATGTTTCGTTGCACTTGTCTCCACATGTTTCCTTGTATCATTCTCACTTGCCCTATCTGTTCCTCAGGCATATGTGGTATCTTTTCTGGAAGCATAAGATGTTGAAGATGAGTACTCGAGAGCAATGCCAGGTAAGTAATCAGGCATGGAGTTCTAGGTAGTCAGTTCCTGACTGGAAGCTTGATTCCAAGTGCTGACTGATTGCTTTATTTCTCCTTGTCTTGTAGGTAAGAACAAGACCAAAGGAAAAGACACGGAAAAAGTATGATATGGGATACTCTTGCTTTTAACTCTGATGATATGAGATACTCTTGCTCTGGTATGGCTTGTTTGCAGAGGTATTATGGGAGGGAAAACAAGCTGAGTATTTCGAGAAACTCTGTTGAGAGTGCCCTCTCAGATGTGAAGAAAAGTTGAGCATTCTTTTTTATTTGCAGGTCTGCTTGGCTGTGGAGGATGAAGGTCGACATATATAGAAATTGTCCCAACAGCGAGCGGTAACGCTGTTCCTTTATCCTCCTTGGCCATAGCAATGTAGTGGGAGCTGCAAGATTCACGTGTCTTAACTTTGTCAGAGCACTTTGAAAAAGTGGTCTGTAGTATCTGGAAAGCTGATGTTGCGTGTGAAGATTGCAGACAAGCTTTATCTAAGGAAATCTAGCTCTCGAAGTTCGGAGAGCAGTGCCTCTTCGGTTTTTAAAGAAGCAATCCTGTCGAGAATCTAACTCTCGAGATTCAAAGAATTGTGCCTCTTCGATTTTTGAGAAGGCAATCCTGTTGGGAGTCTGGCTCTTGAGATTCAGAGAGCGGTGCCTTTTTGATTTTTGATAAAGTAATCATGTTGGGAGTCTGGCTCTCGAGATTTAGAGGGCGGTGCCTCTTCGATTTTTGAACAAGTAATCCTGTTGGGAGTCTGGCTCTGGAGATTCGGAGAGCGGTGCCTCTTCTATTTTTAAGTAAACAATCTTGTTAGGAGTGTTTTCTCGAATGTGAGTAAAGGTTGGGCATTTTTGCCAGTCTGCCTTGCCACAGAGCACAGAGGTTGACACACATAGGGACTTTCCAGTTATCAAGCACTAGTGCTGGTCCTTTACTCTTTTGGGTAATAATAGGGTATCTGGACCTTCAAAATTTATGTGTCTAAACTTTGTCAAAGATCTTTGGCGAAGTTATATGTGGTACCCGATGAGCTGATGTTGCGTGTGGAGATTGTCGACATATTTTACTAAGGAAAATTCGTTTCTCGAAATCCGGAGAGTGGGGCCTCTTCGATGTTGCCCTTTCTTTTATAGAGGCACCAATTGTGTGCAAGAAATACATTCAGATAGTTATTGCTTGTAGGAAATTTCCCCTTATTTTTGTACTTCAGAGATTTATTGGACCTCATTTCTCATTCATCATTTCTGAAAATGTCTAGCTCATCCGACCGTCGTTTTGACTTGAACTTTAGTGAAGAGGCAGCTATGTCTCCTCAAGACAACATATGGCGCATATCCTTCTTATCCCCTACTGGTCCTCTTACCGTTGGGACTCTGTGATGAAGAATGGTATGACCGTTGCGGTGGTGGCCAAAAACCTTCTCACTCCCAAAGATAACAGACTACTTTCCAAACGGTCTGATGAGTTGGTTGTTAAGGATTCTCTGGATTTCAGTGTTCAGTGTGCAGGTTATGTGTCTAATATGGCCATACGCCTATTTGCTCAAACCCGCCAAGTCGAATCATTGGCGGCTGAAGTAATAAGTTTCAAACAGGAGATTAGAGGGCTCAAGCATGAGAATAAATAGTTGCATAGGCTCACACATGACTATGCTACAAACATGAAGAGAAAGCTTGACCAGTTGCAAGAATCTGATGGTCAGATTTTACTTGATCATCAGAGGTTTATGGGTTTGTTCCAAAGGCATTTATTACCTTCGTCTTCTGGGCTGTACCGCGTAATAAAGCTCTAAATGATCAACCTCCGGTGCCTCCTCATTCTAAGGTTCTGCCCAGTACTGAGGCTCCGATCACCCTCCAGTGACTACTCTTTTTGGGGCTCTGTCGACTGTTGAGACTTCTATTGAGCAACATTTGTGAAAGCTCCCTCTTGTTTGTTTATTTTGATTCATGTATATGTACATATTTGTAACCTATCGGAGATATCAATAAATAAGCTTTGCTTCATTTCAACGTATTGTGTTAAATACACCAAAACCTTCTTCACTAAGTTCTTTGAATTTTTTTTCTTTTGTTGAAGCTTTGTGAGTGAAGCATGTATGTTGAGGTAGTACTCCCTTAATTTCCCGAGTGAGGAAAACTTCTCGGTTGGAGACTTGAAAAATCCAAGTCACTGAGTGGTCGTGAGACTTCCGAGTATCAAGGTGCAGTAGCATATGGTAGAGGAGCACGTGGTCATGGGTTGTTGGGAAACGAACCCATGACCACATGTCAACATTATAGTGTCAACATTGTAGGTCAAGTATGGTAGCCAAGTCACTGAGTGATCGTGAGACTTCCGAGTATCAATGTTTCCATATATTTAAACCTTCCATTTGAGCAAACTACGGGAGATTTTCCTAGCCTTTTAGTATATGTCCTATTTAATTAATTAATTTAGTTATTTCGCATATAGGTGAGAATTACCCCGATGACGTACGAGGACAAACAAGGCTAGGAGGCTACGATCCGACCACGTATCAATGAGTGGGCATTTATTTTTATATATTATATATAAAGTTTATAGTTTCCAAATGTGTTTTTAGATTGATTTTTTTTACGCCTATCATGCCATGATTTATTTTATTTTAAAATACCATTATTGTTGTTGAGATTTATATGTTGTCATGGCATGTTCATACACTTTATACTTGCTCATCATGCATGCTTGCACCGGTGTAGTACTTGCCCCAGCCAGGGCCAAGCTTCACGTGTATGTTCACATCGCACCGCAAGCTCACCTTGGATCCATTGTAGGTGTTAGTCCTGTCGTACAGGTTGCAATAGGCAACTCTGACTCGTATGTGATGCGCCTAGCACCAGTCTTCACGTGATTGTAGTACTAGAACGTATGTTATGATGACACCCAGTCCTATTCATGTCAGATTCCCTCTGCATGAACTCGTGTGTTAGCATAGATTGATGAGCACTTGATTTTACTTAAGCTACTGTTGAGATATTATGATTGGCGTATTTCTGGATTTACTTTTGATTTGCATTTGATTTCATACTTATACGTAGTATGATTTTCTGGAAACTATATAGGTTTTACGGCGAGCGGTTAGTATGTTCCAAAAATAAATGTGTTTATAAACCTTTATTTTTGCTCACTCACCTTTCTATTTTTTGCCCCTCCAGGTCCTAATTAGCTTATTACTCTGTTCCATACGAGGAATATCCTGTGGTTCTGACATATCCATAAATAAGTGTAGGGGCTTTTCCAGGTTGTGTATTAAGCACTTTAACTAGTTTCGACCGCACACTTTTATGTCATCTATCCTCTGAACACTTGTGTTTTATGGATTCTTCCCACTACCATGCACTCGCTACTTTAGATTAAATAAATGTTAGTTTTGTTTTAAATTTATCCATATTTTTATGCTTCACTTTCCTTTTTTGTTACGTCACTTTCGAGCAAGGAAGAAAATATCGGTAATATCGGAAATATCGGTAGTCCGAAAACACGGAAATATCGATGGAAATATCGGGATAATATCGATATCGATAAAAATTACATGGAAACCACGGAAATTGTAAGAAAAACTTGGAAATTTTTATTGAAACTTTGCATGATGTTTATTTAGTCAATTATCTATTAGTTTATCACAAAAAATTGGAAGGAAATGCATTGCATGATTGATTTAACATTATCAAGTTGATTATATAGCGAGCTGACAAACATTATGAGTGTAGAAAATATGTAGTAATTAATGAAAGAAGTCTAAACACACCATAATCATTTATATATAATGAATTAGTACAATATTTTACACTTTATACATTGCATTTTTGGTTCTTCTCTGACAGAATTTGGTCTTCATGTGGAGAAGAAGATAAAGTAAGCAGATTTTTTTGTTCTTCTCTGACAGAATATTTGGTTCTTCTGAGCAAAGTCACTTCCAATTCTTTCATACAAAACCGTGTGCCACACACACACATCCTCAAAGTTTTTTTCTTTTTCTCTCGGATAACACACACACACAAAACCATGTGCCAAAACTCTCTCGGATAACACACACACACACATAACCATACACACACACACAAAACCATGGTTTTATACAAAACCATGTGTCAAACCGTGTGCCATAAACACACACACACACACACACCCTCAATGTATTTTTTTCTTTCTCTCGGATAACACACACACACTTCTCCCTCATTCCACACACACACACGCACACACACCCTCCATCTACAGAGATCGAAGATCTCTCTTCTCCCAAACACACACACACACACACAGATCGGAGATCTCTCTTCTCCATTCTCCGATCTCTCTTCTCCCTTATCCGATCTCTCTTCTCCCAAACACACACACACACACAGAGATCTCTCGATCTCTCTTCTCCCTTCGCCGTTGATCGTGGCTCTGGCGAAGTCGGAGTTGGCTCAGTCGTCTCTGGCGGTGCGCCGCTGAGCAAGGATCACGTTCAGTCATCTGGTTTGTCTTCGTCTTCGTCAGGTGAGATTCCATTGAAACCCTAAACCCTAAACCGACTTCACATATGTTGAATCGTTTATGCATGCGTGAAATCTGAAGTTTATATGTGAAATTGATGTTAAAATTCGTGTTTTTGCAAGGTTTTTGGGACGAAATCGGCCCGGGAATAGGCACACCGTCTCCGGCGTTCTTCTCCGACGTCGCCTCGGAGTCCGATTGCACCAAACTCAAAAAAATTTCGCCGATATTTCCAAAATATCGCAATATTTGGCCGAAAACCATTCGGATACCACTTAGAATATCCATCACCCGAAAAACCAATAATATCGGCGATATTTCGCCGATATTATCGGCATTTTCTTCCATGCTTTCGAGTAACGGCCAGTATGCCTCGACTCCGATCGAGGTGTGTCATTAACAATCCACTGATTCTAATTCAATACTCCACCATACTTTACAAATGTGCATTACTATTGAACATGGAAGCCTAAAGAGCAGGGATATAATTCCTATTTTAACAGAAGCAATAGCAAAAAACGAACCAAGTTACAATGTGCAATGATATCGTTGAGAAGAAAAATATGAGCAATGAATCATACAATGTGTAAAATATAATTAAATATTAAATTGTCGTTATTCAGATAAGTCTAACCTAAAACCTTTTAATTACTTAAAAAAAAAAAACTGACAAACATACTCTAGTTTCAAAATATTTGAAAGGCAAATATTTGTTAATTATCATGTGATATTTTTCAACGGATGTAATCAAAATACATAAAACATGAACAAGTGAATAAGGACATCTCGTGAGCTGCATTCCAAACTTGGCCAAACCAACCAAAAGTAATGTACTCCACAAAGTAAATAAATGTTGTACAACAAACCACCTTTCATTTATTTACTTTAATTTGATTTGGAAGATACTTGATCAATTTTATAACGAAAGTACCCTTGTGCTCGATCATTTAAAAAAAATAAAATAAAATCTTTGAAGGGGAGTGGGCTTAATAGCCTCATAATAGGCTAACAATAATGTGATTCAAATTTCCTTCAAATCTAAGACCTTTCACTTATAAGTAAACATGAATATAACTAAAAAACAATTCATATTTACAATGAGAGAAATCTAAATTCAAATTTTAGTATAATAAAGGCATTTCAATGAATTGTTTTAAAATGTTTTATTTTATTTAACTGGCTTAGCACATTTCATTTCTCTGTTTCATGGAAATGTTTTTGTTGACCCTAGAAATTACAAAGCCTACGTGGCGCGCAGGCCGAGTAATTAATGAGCTAACTACGTCCTTCGGTGAATGCGGGGCGTGCCAACTCGTCGGCCGAGCTCGGCCGAGGAGTAAATTTGTTGATGTTGCGTTGGGTCGCGCTACTGACTTCTGCGTCTTGCGATTGCGGCCGAGAAAGGAACACGTCTCGGCCTCTTGGGCTCTCGAACCTGAAGACAAGGTTACTATTCTTACGAAGTTCAATATCAACTTCGGCTTTCAATGTGCCGAATGTAATAACTGTAACACCTCACTTCGCCGAGAAGGCTGATGAGATGACCTCGACCAATAAGGATTTAGAAACCCTTCTCGACCGAGACTTGGATAGGTAATCAATCGTTCTCGCCGCAGTGCTGTTGATGCCAACGGAAGGTACTGCGAGACTGACTGACTCTACGGTGACAGAGCTATCTATGCCGACTTAAGATATCACCGGTTGCTTCCACAATGCTGTTGATGCCAACGGAAGATGTGTCAGCGAAAAAGGAAAAAGAAAAATCACAAGTTGTGAGAGTTTGCGCAGGGCAATTTTGTATTGATTTTGTGGGGCCTTTCCTGATGCACAGCGTCCCCTATTTATAGTACTGAACCTTGAGTCCGAGTTTAAATCCTACTCGGACTAGGTTTCCCTCTCCGGATCACCTCGACCAGTCCTACATCTACTAGGACTATGAACCTAGTCCTTAGCTAAGCTGGATTAGTTTCCTGGATATCCGATCCCGTCGAGACTCCCTATTGCACTAAGATTCGTCCTAACCGCCCTAGGTTTGGACGCCCACGTGTTGACCGATCCTTGGTCCTTTTTCCGCCCTGCCTCCTGGGCCGAGAGTGATCCTACCCTCGGCCCAAACTATTATTTTGGGCCCAAACAGTTTTATTTTACACAAAAATTCATACTTAGAATAAGAGAAATTCGATATATACTAAAATTTGGATTTCTCTCATGGTAAATATGAATTGTTTTAAACTACTGTCAAAATTGATCGAGCACAAGGGTACCTTCAGTATAAAACTGATTAAGTACCTTCCAATCAAATTATCAGGGGTGGAAAGGGAGAAAATTTTCTGGGTACCGGGTATACCAGTTGAGCTAGTGTTCCTAACCAATAAAAGCTTAACACCTAATTATCTAGTTTTTTAATTAAGAAAATGTCAACTAATATTGTTTTTGTCAATCAAAATTCCTAATTTACCCTTATGTCAAACAAAAATTGAAAATAATCTCCCTCCCTCTCAGCACAACCCACCTCTTGCCATCAAGAACTCATCCAACCACCGCACACCTCCATCGAAGCTGATATTTTCACCAGAGAAACCCTATCAAATTCTCTCGCTTCCTACTTTTTCCTTTCTCCTCTTCCACTCTTAGCTCTACATGGTACCCAAGAATGATGGACGACAACTCTGACCTTCCTATTTGCAGTCACCAATCTCCGATCGAAGCGTAGGAGTGATTAGGACTGGGCACGGACCGGGCCGGGCCGGACCTAATTTTGAATAAACCAGAGGTTAAAAGAAACGGGTCGGGCCGAGCCGGGTACATCATATTTCATTACAGGAATCGGACCGAACCCTGCCCGTTTGAAACGGGCCAGTCCAGGCAGGGTCCACGGGTCCTTGGTTTTATTTTTTTATTTTTTTTTGGCGAAACCGCTACGGAAATGACTCCAAAACCACCGCCATGCTGCCTTCGTCATCACACCACAACTTCTCCATCTAGCGCAGATCCACTTTCACCACTGTGCCCTGCGCCGGCATCGCCACGTTTCTCACCATGGCCTACATCCTTGCAATCAACACATCCATTCTTTCCGACTCTGGTGACACCTACTTCGTCTCAGACTGCATCCCTCTCTGCTATCCGACTACCTAATGGAAGAGAACAAAACAAAACACACCATTTTAATATTCAATACCCAATTTTTCATATGGCAGACAAATCTGAAGCAACTAAATTCCCCAATCAAATTACAAAACCCCATTTTTCTTTACCCTCACCACAATCATGTTCCAATCTCATCATCCCTAAATTTTCCACCTTTCCCAGATTTCACTATCCTTTTTCCACAAATATTAAAACACACAGGAAATAACTCACAAAAAGCAGCCAAATTCCCAAAAACCATTCTCTCTAACTTCGGGTGATTAACAAAAAAAAACTGAAAAATTAAATCCCATCAAGCAAACTCAATCAATCTCTCAGGAGCTCTCTCAATCGATCCTCGACGAAAGCCTTTACCTCCTCGGCGTTGAGAAGATGACGCTCAAACAGGTCTAGTCCTTGGAGCGAAAATGCAAAGAAAATTAGCAAAACCCAGATTGGGGTTTTGGGCTAAAAGCTAAAAATGCATGATTTATGGAAAACCCAGTTGGGATTAAGAACTTAAAGACGAAGAAGAATAAGGTTCGGGGAGATAGAGGGCAACTGAGATAGAGTGAATTTTGGAAAGTTAGACTCGGTAGAAACTAGGGTAGAAACCAACGGTTGAGATTGGATGATAGGTTATCATTCAATCTCGGTAGTTCATTATAATTAGAAACGGGCCGGTCCGGGTACCTGTTTTTCTAAGCATCTGGACTCAGCCCGCCCTGTAAATGAAAAGGGCTCGACCCAGCCTGCCCCGTTTGTTCTCTAAAATATTAGGAACCGGTCCGTACCTGTCCCGAACCGTGATTACCCGTCCCGACCCGCGATTCCTATACCCGTATGCCCACCCCTAGGAGTGGTCGTTGGCAATTTATGGGATCATTCTCCAGCGTAAGGGAGGAGTATAATTAAAAATAAGAAGAGGAAGGGAAAAAGAGAGATAGGTGAGGGGAGATGGATCGGATGGGGTGGAGGTCAGAGACCCACAACGAGAATTTGGGTTCTGTGTTTTATTTATTTATTTTTTTTGTTTTTTTAATTATTTTCTGAAAAGTTGAGTATTAGGGACTAAATAAGAGGATGGAAACTCAAGTGCCAATATGTGCAATATAAAAAAAGAAACCCAGATGTCATGTTCCTATCCGTAGGGAACACCAGCTATCCTATGTACCCGGTACCTAAACAAATTTATCGTGGAAGGGACATCATTCACGATGCTTGTGACTGGGATCGCAATCTGCAACTAAAATAGTACCGTGGAAGAATGAGGACAAACCAATCAATAAAGGGCAGGCTAAAAGACATCTCGGTCCTTGGACGAAGAATTCTTATCAAATCAAACAATTCAAATCTTCGGTTGATTAAACACAATATATGCGACTGTCACGTAATTATTGTTTTTTTCTTTCCCTGTATGTGGGAGACGCATCTTTTCCATACAACATTATTGAAGGGGGTCATCTTAATCCCAGTTCTGAATATTCTTTGAGATAATCCATTAAACATAGTTTTAAATTATTCTTCCGCATAACTTAAAGAGAACTTAATTAATTATGTTTAACCACATCAAGTGGCACACGGAGTGCAGCTTTTCAATAAACAAAAATATGTAGAATGTTTCGGATTCGATGCTTTAAGCTTATGATTCTGCTTGATTGTGGTCATGTGCAGGATGAAATTCTCCATAGCCTCTTTGGGTCCGGAAGCAATGGCGACGCTATGTGAGAACGATGAGTGGCAGTAACCCCTCACCGGAAATCAAGCCCAGGAGCAGTGGTTCTGCCCCTCCGGTCTTGTCGGAAGTGATGAAATTCCGTCTGGTTTTCTGGCCTTTTGGGTTTCCTTGCTCTATCGCAACACAGGCTGATTGCGGGCTCTCTTTTTTTTCAAAAAAAAAAAAACCTAGGTCAAAGAAAGGAGGAACGAAGATTTGCATTTTGCAGCTTCTGGAAATGGAGAGGTTCTAACGAAGAAGAAAAGAAAGGAAGAAGAGAGAGTTTCTTTCTCTACCATCCAACCCCACGTGCTTTTTCAGAATTACAATTTTTTTTTTAACTATTAGCCAATCAATTTGAGCCACCTAACTAGCTATTATTGATTTATATTGGAATTTGTTTTGTTTTTTAATTATTTTCTAATTAATTTGACCACTCTTCTAATATTTTTTAAGCCACTTGTTTGACACTGTTATGTATCTTAAAATTCACTATAAATTTATACAAGCTTCAAAAAATAATTTGTAAAATATTACAAACTCGTACTTATTTGTTTTTTTTTCTCTCTTACCATCAAATCCAACAAAGTAATAAAGAAAATTTGTCAATATTTTTATATATTATATGTTTTATAATCAATGTTTTTTGGACATTATATGCTATATAATAAATAGACAATTATTTATACGGTATATAATAAATTTATTCAAATTTGCCTAGGTCCTCGCCTAAGTGTAAAGTCATGTCCACCGCCCGACTACAGCTTAACATCTTTTAAAACTTTTCTAATTATACAGTTAAGTAATAGGACGATACAACAAGAAACGGTGCTAAATCATGCTGCAAATAATATTGTTGTTCAAACCCTCCTTCAACTATTTTGAGTAGTCCAAATCCTCTTTCGAATATTTCGGTTAGTGTAAATTCTCTTATGAATATTACGGGTAGTTCAAATAATCTTCTTGTAAATCATGGACTAAGACCTCGAATGAATGTTCACATTTTTTCGGAACCCTAAACTTTTTAAATTTCACCCCTCCCCAAAAAATTTATGGCTTTGCCATTGTCCAGAAAAATGGATAACCGTGGTTTACCACTATTAATTAACTTTCTTATCATTATTAGTGCATGGATTCTTATCTTAGGTGACGAAAATAAAGTATGTATTGGACCCATGCATAAACATGGTTCAATATTTAGTTACCGAATTCAAGTTTCAACCATTGAATTTGAACGATTTGAACCAATAAAGTAAAAAATAAAACCACATGTTTTGAGCTGAATTATTCGTTCAAGGAAGAAAACTAAACCCACCAAACATACAAATATACCCAGATGGTCCCCAACCCAAATGCTCCCTTCATCAGAGAAATGAATACGAAAGGAACCCCACAATTTGAGAGAGAGAGAGAGAGAGAGAGAGAGGACAAATATAACCGTTGCAGGGCGTGGCCTTAGTTGGATGCCAGGCTGACTTCTTTGGCCTACCCAAGACCCATCAGCAGAACCTCCCTAAAGCCTCTCTCCCTCTCTCTCTCTCTCACTCAGATGATTAGCCTTTATTTGTAAATGTGCCAAAAACACAGTTTGATGCATTAAATATTATAATACAATAATTATTAAGGAAAATAATGAAAAGTACTTAAAAACATTGAGTTTTAACGTAATGTTAAAATAAATAGTACCAGGATTGACTTTTTAGTGTAAAAATATGATTTTTCGTTAAAATGAACAATACCAGAAGTTTTCATTAAAATTCTCTAATTATTACTCATAATATACCGACTATGCTTTGGAAATACCAAAATATTTCTTCTCGCTATACGAGAGATTTTTCTGTATGACCTACAAATGAGATGGTATTCCATGTGTTACAATATAAATTGTGAGATATGTGTGTTAAAAAGTTAATAACTTAAAAAATAAAAAATTTCATCACTTATATAAAAACACGTGGTAACATATGTGTTCCCATCACAATAAAAAATTTCTACTCTCTATAATCGTTGGGTCCCACATTCGCTTCCCACTTTTCTCTCTAAAAACCTAAGAGGTGTTTGTTTGCCCTCACTAACTGTCCTTGGACTAGACTGGACTAATAGTTAGTCCAGTCTAATGCTTGTTATCATGCGAGACTAGTCTTAATGAGACTAGCTCGGACTCGCCTACACTAAAGGCTTCACTAAGAGGTCTTAGTGAGACCCCCCAAAAACCACGAGATTGCTAGTCCCATCTCCCTCTTCTGCAAGCAGCGTCGCTTAAACCCGCATGAGCAGCATCAGCCCTCCATCGTCCCATAAACCCAGTGCCCTTTTGGCATCTGGATCGGTGATTTGGTGTCTTTTTCCATCTGGGTCGACCTGAACGACGGCAAAAACGGGTCTCATGGTAATCTAGATTCTTCCGCCGACAGCAAGATTGAAAACTTTAGCATTGGTGCAGTGACTCTAAGTGATTTTTCTTGACCAACTGTGATTTGCCCAGAAAATACAGGAACCAAATTTGAAGAAAAAAGAAAAAAGAAATACAAAGAGAGCGATGGGAGAGGGGACATTATACAGAGGTGAAACAAGAGAAACAAAAGGAAGGGGAGGGAGACACTAGTAACGAAAAAAAGGGGCAAAAATGGGGAGAAAAGGGAAATGGGAGGGAGAGGCGGAGGGACAAAAATGGGGAAAAAGGGAAAGGGGCAGAAAACAAAAATTTGAAATACCCATTAAAATCCAAGAAGGTTTAAGCATAAAATCTAAAATAAAATTGATAAGAGATAGATTGATAATTGAAGAGCAAAGATTGATGAACAATTGGGAGTTACCTGCGAGAGAGAAGGCTTTGCGAGATGGACTGCTGCTTTGTTTTCTCATAGTGGAATATTAGTTTGCTTAAGTGGGTTTATAGACGAGATCTTTCCAAAATGAAGTAGGGGATTCTAGAAATAAAAAGAAAAAGAAAAAGTAATAATAAAATATTAATTGATATATAGTAAATTAATATAAAATTGTAGTCCTGCTTCTTAGTCCAATGCTGCACCAAATATTTCACTAAATCAGTTCAGCTTAGTCTTGTCTAAGCCAGTCTAGTTTAATCCCTGAAACTAATCTAGTCCGAGATAGTCCGGTTCAACAAAAGCACCTTAAGAGTACAAAAGCCAAAATACTCCTCTTCTCTCTCTCTCTAACATTTTCACAATCCCAAAAATACCCCTACCGTATCCATTAATGTACCATTTTCCTCCCTTCTCCCTCTCTCTCTTTAAAACACGCACACCTAGAACCTCACTCTCCCAAAACCTCCAGAGCTTTCTTCCTTCCGCCGAAAAACCCAAGCCTTTTCTGAGAGTTCTCCACCTGTTTGTGAAAATGTCTAAGGAAGTAATCGAGGAGGGACAGGCCCGCCACCATGGGAAGGACTACGTCGACCCACCGCCAGCTCCTCTCTTTGACACGGACGAGCTCAAGCGCTGGTCCTTCTATAGGGCCCTCATCGCCGAGTTCATCGCCACTCTCCTCTTCCTCTACGTCACCGTAGCCACCGTCATCGGCCACAAGTCCTCACCCGGCGACTGCGGCGGCGTTGGCCTTCTGGGCATCGCCTGGGCCTTCGGCGGCATGATTTTCGTCCTCGTCTACTGCACCGCCGGAATCTCTGGTAAAATACCAAAAACCCAATTCGTTTTCAGCTTAATCTTCAAAACCCATGTCGATTTTTTACCCTTTTGGTGCTTGATTTCTGATGGGGTTTGCCGTTTTGGTGCATTTCAGGTGGCCACATTAACCCAGCCGTGACTTTTGGTCTTTTCTTGGCCCGCAAGGTCTCCCTGATCAGAGCCGTGGCTTACATCGTTGCCCAGTGCTTGGGAGCCATCGCAGGCGTTGGGCTGGTCAAGGCCTTCCAGAAGCACAACTACAACTCCCTCGGCGGCGGCGCCAACTCCGTGGCTCCTGGCTACAACAAGGGCACTGCTCTGGGTGCTGAGATCATCGGCACCTTCGTGCTCGTTTACACCGTCTTCTCAGCCACCGACCCCAAGAGGAGCGCACGTGACTCCCACGTGCCTGTAAGTTTCAACGCTTCAGTCCTTTAGCTCTCTTGATGTAAATATTTCTGTATTTTGCTGGGTTTTGAGATTTTGTTGATATGAACGTGTGCTGGGTTTGCAGGTTTTGGCTCCACTGCCCATTGGGTTTGCTGTGTTTGTTGTGCACCTGGCAACAATCCCCATCACCGGAACTGGAATCAACCCAGCAAGGAGCTTCGGCGCTGCTGTGATCTACAACAACGAGAAAGTCTGGGATGACCACGTAAGAATCAAAACTACATGCCATTTTTGAGGTGTTTCTGATGATTATTTGATTTTTTAACTGATGGGGTTTTTGATTTTGTGTGTGTAGTGGATCTTCTGGGTCGGACCATTTGTGGGAGCACTGGCTGCGGCGGCGTACCACCAGTACATTCTGAGGGCGGCGGCGATCAAGGCGTTGGGATCATTCCGCAGCAACCCGACCCACTAAAACGAAGATTGAAGAAACAATGTTCTGATGATATTTTGTTCTCTATTATTAGTGTGTAGTGTGTATTGAGAGTGTTGTTTTCATTTTGTTCTCTATTTTTATAATTTAATTTCTTAATTTTAATTAGCTAGATTTGAATGATGTTTATTAATTTTTGTTTATGAGTAGTGTTGTTTTATTGCTAAGACTACAATATGTCCTCTCTCCTTCCTCTCTAATTAGACTTCTTCCAAAATAAGTCATTCAAAACTCCATTTCATAGCAAAAAAACACGTATAAAACACCACCTGAAACGCTATTTCGAAGAGGGAAAAAAAAACCGTGCCCAGCTTTCTTTCTCTAGTTTGATCAAGTGTTTGTCACATATTATAGTTAGAGTAATATTAGAGAAATTAAATATGAATGACAAAAAAATTGACGTTTAAATTATAACTTAAATTAAAAAACACTTGCTGATAAATGACGAAAACCTAGGTTAGTGGCTCTCTAATCTCTCTCTCTCTCTCCCTCTCCCTCTTCCTCTCCCTCTCCATGCATTGCACAGGCCAAAGTTTTAATTAAAACTGCTTAGCTGGCACTTTAACTAATTTCTAATCTCTACAAAGTAGCATAAATTGAATCGTGGGATTCTTGTCTCGATGGCCTTGGATTCCAGTGGGTTCGTAACACGTGTCCCTTTGAGGAGCACTGCATTGCATAGATGCCTAAAGCCCTAAACCTAAAAGCCTGCAGGTTTTGGTGAGCGAGGACGCTGCTGTACCCAGTGGTTTCTTTCTTGCTTTGTGCCTCTCTGGAAAAGTCTGACACGACAAGTGTTGGTCCAACTTTTGGAGCAGCATGGGATTAATTTCGACGATGACTCTCGACTGGACGACTAGACGGGACGGGACGGGACTATTGTCCATTTAATTATGTCTCTTCGTCGTAAGTTGTACTATCAATTTTTATTAATTATTATTTATATTTATTTTAAATAAAATATTTAAAATAATTTTTAATTGTACGATGTACGATAAAATTTGGTAATATATCAATTTGTCAACTATTAATAGACAAAATAATTTCTTTCACTTCCGAATGAGCATGACTAAAAGATTTTCAAAATCCTCACAAATAGGATTCAGAGAGCATCCTCAATTGCCATATAGGACTTGCATGACAATAAACATAAAAAAAAATCGAAATTAGCAATGTCTCAAATCAATAATACGAAATCAAGCCAAAATTTTGATATACATGGATTCATCTTAAATATCTGATATGCTTCGGTGGTGTATATGCCCTATTTTGACAACATAAAATATGACTGCATTGCTAACGCTTTAAAATAAATACAATGATACAATACAACCCATCTATATTAAAATGGGAAGAGTTGAAACACAATCTTGTGTTCTTAAGGCTTCGTTTGACTTCGTTTTTCTTTTTTTAAAAGTTATTGCATTTTAAAGTTAAGCAATAAAAAATTATTTGATAAAAACAAAATTTTCTACTTATTTTAAAAGTAATGCCATTTATACAACAGCTTTTTAAAGTAGTATGTAGGTTATTTTCAAAAGTTGCTTTTATAAAAAACGAAGTTGATAATTTAATGAATATTTTCAATTTCTTTAATGCTCTCATTAGTTTTTATAAAATGACATTATTTATTGGAGAACAAAATGAACACAACTACCATCAACATAACTGCCACCATTGCCACAATCGTCATGTCCACCACCATTGTTACTATTACCGCTACCACCATTGTTGCTGCCACTGTCATTATTGCCACCACAACACAACCGCAACCACTGCCTCTCCTACCACCATTGTTATCTCTATACCCCAATCACCACACCTTACTATTGGCACCACCACCATACCCCTACTATTTTTGTAACATCCCACATCGTCCAGGGATGTGGATCTTGTAAGCCTTATATGTATATTCTTATCTCTACCTAGTACGAGGCCTTGGAACTCCGAAGTTAAGCGAGTTTGCATGAGAGCAATCCCAGGATGAGTGACCCACTGGGAAGATCTCATGTGAGTTCCTAGAAATAAAACCGTGAGGGCGTGGTCGGAGCCCAAAGCGGACAATATCGTGCTATGGCGGAGTCCAGCCCAGGATGTGGTGGGGGCTCGGGCTGGGATGTGACAATTTGATATCAGAGCCAATCCCTGGGTGGAAGTGTGTCGACGATGACGTCGGGCCCCTAAGGGGGGTGGATTGTAACATCCCACATCGCCAAAGGGAGTGGATCATGTAAGCCTTATATGTATATTCTCATCTTTACCTAGCACAAGGCCTTTTGGGAGCTCACTGGCTTCGGGTTCCATCGGAACTCCGAAGTTAAGCGAGTTCGCAACGAGAGCAATCCCAGGATGGGTGATCCATTGGGAAGTTCTCGCGTGAGTTCCCAAAAACAAAACTGTGAGGGCGTGGTTGGGGCAAAAAACAGACAATATCGTGCTACGGTGGAGTCAAGCTCGGGATGTGGTGGAGGCCCAGGCGGGGATGTGACAATTTTTGATGCCAGCACCACCACCATTGCCCTCACCGCATCTCCAATTTTTTCATTATATACATATATCACTTCTACATTAAACTTTTTCATAGTCACAACACTGTTAAAAATTCGGTTGTCAAATATTCAACTACTTTATTTTACAATTGATTATTCTTAAAGTAAAACAAAAATAATTTTTAAGAATACACAGTAATGCTAAACTAGCCCTAAGTAATATTATTGTCAGGGATGAATGGCATGCCATGCAGCCTGCATTTGCCACACAATGGAGTGCATGTCATGGGAAGCACGTGGGTGCGGTGAAGCTCACATATTACCCTCATAGAAAATTAATTACAAATTTCAAAACAGAGAGGAGAGTACAAAATTACCTTTTTGTATTATTTTACTTTTATTTATTTATTTATTGGTCTCGTGTTCTTCACGAGCAGAGAGAGACAGGGAGAGGGAGAAAGTGGTCATCACGGTGTCAAAACTGGTATGTGTGGCGTGGGGGGGTCTCTGTGTGTGGCCCTCACGTGCCTACTACCACTACTGGGTTCTTCCCTCAAAATCTTCATCACGAGGATGCCACTGAGGCTGAGGTTTGAGTTGCGGTTCAAATTATTTCATTTTAGCTGCTCCTTATTTATTATTCTTTTCCAGTATTTCTTTTCATAAGCATAATCAAAACACTCTCTAGAGGAAGAGACAGACTTACCCTTCTTGGTATGCCACATCAGTATTTCAAACTAATCGTGATTTGTGTATTATGACTGAGGTAAACTCTATCATGATTTATTTTTTATGCAAGAGATATTTGAAAAAAGGATAGAAAATCAAGCTATAAACCTCATATGCACAGCAAATGATGATGTAATTGAGCTACCATAGGGGCGTTGGGGGTGTGCAAAAGGTGCGGTGGCACATGCCCTAATTTTTTAGGGGCCCCAATTTTTTTTATCATCCCTTATATTACACATGAGTATAAATTTTTAATAAAAAAAGTTTTAAGCTGAAAAGAAAAATCATCATCATTACAATTGGTTAAGCAAAGCTTGAACTCAATATATTAATTTTCTTCTTTTTTTTTTCAACAATAATAAACTTATGTACTACTTTCTTCCACTTTTCTATTAAGCAATAAAAAATTAACTTGTGTATTACTTTCTTCCACAAATACAAACGTATTTTCATATCTCTATTTCAGCTGTGCTCCATTTTTTTTTATAGATGAACCCAAAATCATGACTTTATTTTGGAGATTATTCAATTAGTAAGAGGGATGCTGATTTTAATTAAGTTTGGATATTCATCGTTGAGCTTTGTATGGATATATTGTCCAACAACATTTTTTTTAAATAAGGAGGACCTTTTTATTAAATTCGCACAGGACCCGCAAAATGTCAGAGACGGCCCTGTGAGCTACAAACCTCCTCATAGGACGCTATTCTGCCATGGTCCATTATGAAATGTATTTATAATCTTAGAATCTAACTCAACCATCAAATTATAAATTATAACATCATTTTACTCTATCAGGTGACAAAATGTTTATTCAACGTTGAAATTGAAATGGCAAAAGAAAAATAATTATCCAACTCAAAAATTAGAAAAACAAAAGATGCATGAGGAGAAAACAAGAGTGCGCATGCCGTACTACCTCACATACAATTCCAGAGAGTGGCTACCCTAAACAAGTTGTATATGCAATTCAATACCCTTTTCTTTTCTTTTTTGTCACCCTCTTTGGAGGGGAGGCTACCCTATACGACCGTTAACTTCAACAACCCTATATTGTTTCTGTTCATTATTTTTCCTTCAAAATAAGCAAAAGAGAAAAAAAAAAAAAAAAAAAAAAGTGAAGCCTTATCCTTGTAATCAATCACTGTGAAAACATGTTCCAGAGAGAAGAATATAGTGAAGATAATTTTCTTTTGAATTTAGCTACTCTTTTCACTTTCATGGTGAAAGTGTTGACCCTAAAAACTACCAAGCCTACGTGGCGCGCAGGCCGAGTAATCTATAAGCTAACTACGTCTTTCGATGAATGCGGGGCGTGCCAACTCGTCGGCCGAGCTCGGCCGAGGAGTAAATTTGTTGATGTTGCGTTGGGTGCGCGGCTGACTTCTGCGTCTTGTGATTGCGACCGAGGAAGGAACACGTCTCGACCTCTTGGGTTCTCGAACCTGAAGACAAGGCTACTATTCTTACGAAGTTCACGAATCGTCGTCGTCGGATTCGGTCACAGTGATATTATTCGTCAGAGTAAACTCACGCCAAATCGACACCAAAGTGTAAGGGCACAAATACTCAAAGCAAATATAAGTCTTAATAGTGAACGTGGTTCGGCCGTCTGAATGCTGAACTCTAAATCCTACTTGAGATTATCCAATCATAAAATAACTCGGCGTGCAATGCGCCGAGCTCAGTAAACTGTAACACCTCACTTCGCCAAGAAGGCTAATGAAATGACCTCAATTAATAAGGATTCGGAAATCCTTCTCGACCGAGACTTGGATAGGTAACCAACCGTCATCGCCGCAATGCTGTTGATGCCAACGGAAGATGCTGCGAGATCGGCTGATTCTATGACGACAGAGCTATCTATGCCGACTTAAGATATCACCGGTTGCTTTCACAGTGCTGTTGATGCCAACGGAAGATGTGTCAGCGAAAAGAGAAAATAAAAA